GGGGGCAACAGGGGGGCCCAGAGCTGTGCTGGGGGGCACACTTTTTACTCAGCTACAGCCGACCCCAGGAGACACTGCTCACGTTCGCTGCATCCGGCGTTCTGCCGCTCCCACGCTGTAACGTCCCGCTCTCGGCCCGTCTCCCTCCCCCCAGCCCAGGGTGTCTTAACGGGGTACAAGGGTGACCCCAAGGCCACGGCTCCTTCTCCCAGCGATACAGCCCTGCAGACGGCAGCGCCAGAACTTCACTTCCTCGCTAATCGGAAATCTTCTCGTTATTTAGTCTCGGCGCTTCCCTTGCTCCTCTCACAGAGACGCCAGCCAGATTGCAGTACCTTGGGCAGACGCTACTGTCCTTGGCTATCTACTCTGCAACTAACTTTATACTGAGTTTGCTTCAGTCTTTGCTGCACGCTCAGATGCGTGCCTATGCAACGGCAAACAATTTTTTTTTCTTTAGCAGACGGAAACAACTGACTCCATTTCTGTGAAAAACGTGGCTTTTATTCAAATGTTGTTCCCTTCCAAAAAATATACCCCAGATATGGACTATAAGAGGGGAGAAAAAAAAAGGGGGGCCGGGGAAAGAGAAGAGACCTCCAGGAGACCCTGTCAACACTTCAGTCTTTTCTGCCGTTATTGACTGCATGGCAGCCGAAGCTAGATGGCAGAAATCTCTTTCAATCCAGTTCTTTTCATGAACTGGGCTTCCGCATGACGGGAAACCATGATGCCATAAAAATGTAAAGGTAGGGTAACTCTTGTGGGAAGCTTTGCATCAGTTTTTCAGAAGAAACAGTGAAAAGGACGTACCACTCCACACAAGTGCTCGCTTTTAAACTGCGCGTCAGCAAACTGTTGAGTTTACTTAGATGTACCTAAACTTTTCCTCAGGTTTCCTTCAGCAGAGCTCATTTAAGTCCAAATATTAGGTTTATTATCCTTTAAATGAGCAAATGATAAAACATTTTTTTTTTCCTAAAAGGGGCTTATTAGACTAGATGCTTTCCTCACAGAGGAGAAAGAAAAGTTGTCATAACTTAAGAATTCAGTATGAAAGAACAAAACCGTAGGAACGCTAGAAATGCAAACAGCTTGCTTGAACCCATTCATCAGCTGACCCATCTTTCTTGAGAGAGGCATTTAAAAACCAAAGGCCGGAGGCTGGCCTTTCTAGGTAGGAACATCCTGTCCTCACTGCACTCCTAGAGCCCATCACATCTGGAGGCAGACTGCATCTTTTGAATAGCTTTGGGTAGCTTGTACTAAAAAGGCTAAAGGAGGACCTTAGTTCAATGTAGTTAGCCCATTCCAATTTGAAAAAATAAAACCCCCTCAAACCCCCAACCAATCTATTCTAATACCACATGTAAACTTGCTGCAATCACAACCTGTCTGCAGAAGGAACTGCAACTCTGCAAAGGGAGGAGAGGTGGGGAGACCATCAGATCCACGGGTGCCCTCTGCTGACCTGCAACAAATGTACCACTTGATACAACGTTGCATCATTGCTGATACACAACACATCTTAGCTCTTAATTTTGCTTCAGATTTTTAATAAAATTGCTCTTGGTCTCCCAGGGTCTTTAAAAGATATAAAACAAGCACTTTTGGTATTTAGTTTACATTATAATTGCAGCGAAGTTCTTTTGATTTGGATTGATTCTGGGCAGCAAGTCAGTTCTGTATCACTGCATACAACTGGTGAGGTTGTAAACCACATTATCAGTGTCACAGCAGAAAGAGAAGGCGCAGCCAGAAGGCAAGAAAATGAAGGGAAAATGAAGTCACTTGGATAAAACTCTTAAACGTTCAGCTTTTGAGACGTGAAGGTGTCTCTCTTAACATCATCAGGCAGTTTCTGTAACTCAAAAGTTATAACCTACTCAATTCAGCTTCCGACTTGGTTTAACAAACTTATTCAACAGTTTCCTCATGTTCTCCCGACCAGTTTCTGTAGTGAGAATCTAACATTTCCTTTTGCTGTATTTCAGAGCCAACCCTGCATAAGAACCCCAGTCTTTTTACCCAGTCATTACTGTTTGGGTCAGAATCTGGCGAGAGCGCCAAGTTCCACGTGCACAGGGAGGAGGTGGTCCTTCCACTAGAAAAGCTGTAGAAGTCCTTTATATACAAGTCAAAGCCAAAAGGGGATGGGCCCCAGAGGAACAGTACAAAGCTCTACTGGAAACCAAGAGGGGACACAGCAAAATTGATTTACAGCATTTATATCCCTACGAACAGAGCCCAACTCCCGCACACGTCTCATCAGAAAGCTTAGTTGTCCACCTCTTCCTCCTCATTTTGCTCTTCTTCCTCCATTCTTTCGTCGTCGTCATCATTCTCTTCCTCTCGGCTCTTATCTTGCTCTTCTGAGTCTGCCTTCTTATCTTTATCTTTTCTTGCTTCTTTCTTTCCTTTCTGTTCACGTCTGTAAACTAAAAAAAAAAAACACACTGAAAATTTGCAGGCTATCCACTGTATGAATAGTAGAGCAGCTGAAGTCCAATGCCCACTTGCTCTCCAGGGTTACAACAGGAGCAGTGAATTCAGAGCAGCAACTCACCCTATTATTTGAGCTGTGCTGAGCAGCTCCATAGGAAATCAGGTTAAGTGCTGTTCAGCAGAAATATGCTGAAAAGGACGCAGGAGTTCCCATTTACAGGCAGCACCTAAGACTTTCCTTAGACAAACATAATAGGGGAATGATATCAGATGAGACTTTCCCAATCCTCATCAGTTGTGAAATAATGTTATCCCAGTCCTGTTAAGGTGCACATTATTTATTCCCCAGGCAAACTGCAGTGTAGGATGCTGGGCAAAGAAAAGAGAAACAAGACAGGGAAATAAGCGTTGCTTGTCGAACCTTCTAGGAAAGTAGGACTTGGTGCTACTTAGACTCCCTTGACATGAACTGAGACCAGTACCTTCCAGTGATTCTTTTAAAGGGGCTACAAATCGCTGAAACTCCATTTCCTCCATGGCAGAGAGAACATCACCAGCATTCAGTGTTTTCCTCTTCCCTTTCATTGCAAAGTTATTTGCACTAGTCAAAAACAAGGAGAACAGAGATAATAACTATCAATTTATTCTTGCTTCTTAAGGTCACAAACAACTTCCCCCCCTCCGCCCCCAAAAGTGATCTCCTAAACATTCAGTTGTTCTTACCACATACTATAGCTGATTTACTGTAATAAAGATATTTTCTTGTTTACATTGACTGTTCATGTTTCCATAATCTGGGTGAGTACTTAAAACCAGAGCAGTGACTGTCTGCACAGCATATTCTGAGCATATACACATGGCCATATACCCAGCCACCCAAAAGAGGTTACTGTATCCTCTGGGATCAGCTCCAAGGCAGCCTATGGTTGTCTCAGGCTTAGTCCTAACGCAGCTACGTGGAGAGCCTGGAAAGTGAGCAAAGGTCTTTCGCATTTGCCTGGAAATACCATACAGCCATGCTCCAAGGCCAGAGGACAGTGTGGGGGCCGCTCTTATTCCTCACGGGGTAGGAAGACACCTTCGTCTACAGAGTCATATCTGTCTTCCCTCAGTTTGTACAGGACAGTCCAAATCTGACTGCTGCAATCTGATGGACTGGGCTAGGCTGAAGATTGTTTTATTCATATAAACAGTCAACACTTCACTAGCGCATTGAAAAAATCATTTCCAGGAGAGCCAACAGAGAGGCTAGTTATAAATCAACTGCACTGGTGATCTGATCCAACCACTTCTTACCATGATGTTGCATAGAGCACAAACACACTTGCCGCTCGAGATATTGCGCTCCGAGCTTCTTTAGAAATATTTACTCCATCAGGAAGCTGAAAAGCAAATTCGAGTTTTATCAGTAGCTGCTATAAATGGCTCAAGACTGCATAATTCACGTGTCAGCTCAGCTAAAGCTTTCAGAGAGCTCAGCATGACTGCAAACGTGGAAAGATTTATTTATCTCAGATGTTATTACAGAAAGTTTGATAGTAGCTGAAAGTTAACGATGATCTAAGCTACATAAAAGGAAAGTAAATTCTGCATCAGCAGTGGGTCTGGCCATCATCTCAGTGGCGATTCATCTGATCACTATCAAATTCTTGATGCAGAACAATCATCCAGCAATATCCAAACTCATGCATTGACGCCTCATAGCTTAAGATCATCATATCATTAACTTAATAACTAAGACTTACTCTAGGCTTCTACACAGAAAAGAAATTGCACTTGAGCCCTCATCTGTTTCTGCTCTGATTTTGTTCTGGGAGCTGGTTTAGGAAGACAGGGTTCTCACTGCCCCATCGCTCCTGCCTCTACCGTAGGATTTCAGAGTCTGGATCGTTACTCCTGACACCTGGAAAACTGGGCTGGGGGCCGATCTTTTCCTCACAGGTGCACAACACGCGTGACGGCACGGGAGGCTGCGCCCACCGCTCTCCCCGGACAAGCTGTTCCCGGCACCCGGGCACGTTTGGGGAATTCGAGAGGGCAGCAAAGACGTGGAATAAAGAAACTGCCGCGGGGGGCTGCTCCGGAGGAGTCTGTCTGCTGGCAC